ATGTAATGTGTTATAAGATCATATAAAGATCTCATTAAGATCATATTAAGATCTTATAACACATTAAGATCATATTAAGATCATATTAAGATCATACCAAATCTCACAAATAGTAAGATCATATTAATATCATATTAAGATCTTACTAAACAAATATTAAGATCTTGGTGAATCAAATACAAATAGCAAAGGAAACAAATATTTTATTTAGAAAAAATCTTGACTCCAAAAGTGCAAATTATAACACATCACCAAATCTCACCAAATCTTACAAATCTAGAAACAAATATCATACTCGAATCTTACTAAACCAAGTCCAAATAAAAAAAAAAAATCCAAATTTAAATATTCATGATATTGGGAAAATTCATAAATCAATAAAACAAATATTACATTCTTCAAAAGAACCTTAATAAACCCAATAAAAATTACGGATACAAAAAAAAAAAAAAACCAAAATCCAGAAATTTCATAAAAGATTCATGATCGGGAGATTAGGATTGTCCAGCCCCATAATAATATCAAAAGATATTCCATAAAAGATAAGTAAAAATTGTATCACGCAATATCTGTAAAGATTTCTCTTCTACTTCTCTATACATAATAATATCATAAGATATTCCATAAAAAGATAAGTAAAATTGTATCACGCAATATCTGTAAATATCTCTCTTCTACTTCTATATAAATTGGATAGTTTTCTTTTTAAATTCCTTTGATTTTCTTTGTAGTTTTGGGGTTCTCTTGTGTATTGCTTGAGATTATCATTCAAATAAATTTGAAAAAAGAGTCTCTAATTTTTTTGAGGTAAAATGGGAGGTTTCAATGGATTGGGTAATGGAGAGGAGCCTCATGTATTGGCTGTTGATGACAGTGTTGTTGATAGAAAGTGGATTGAGAGATTACTCAAAAGTTCTTTTAAATGTCAGTATCAGAGCTCATTTGCCTGCAATTTTAGGGGAAATATTTCCTTAAACAGTCAATTTTATGTGTATATTTCACTTAAACAATCAGTTTTATGTGAAAAGTTCACTTTAAAACAATCTTATTCCTAATTTCCAACTCTTGAGGTTTGCTCCTTTTGTCTTTTAAGTTTTATAAATCCCCTTCTCTCTCTCTATCACGCACACACACATCACCTTCTCTTTCTCTAATTTTCATTTTTTTGTTTTTAAAACTTGCCACCCCCTTTCTCTCTTGACAATACTCTCTCTAACTATCTATATAATATAATCCCCTTCGCTTTTTCTCTTCTTTTTTTTTGTGTTTCAAGTTCTAGCACTCTCTCTCTCTCTAATCCCCTTCTTTTTTTTTGAATTTCATTTTTTTTGTCTAAGTTTCACCAATGTCTAAGTTTTTCTTCTCTCTCTACTAATCCTCGATGTCTAAGTTTTTTCTTTTTTTTGCCTTTTTCATTAGTGTTTCGTTGATAGACATTGAAAACATTAAAAAATAAGATAGAATTTGACTTATTCTTCTTTTATATCATATAAGAAAGGAAAACACTTATATAATATAAGGTGTCAATCTTACACGATTGAAGTAAGGTACACATCAAAAAATACTTTATAAAAGAGCGTTCTTGGACAACCCTCCAATTGGTCATCTTGACCTCAAGATGCACGTATATAAAAAAATAAAAAAAATTTCAAGCACTAAAAAAAGTGCTTCTTGTAACCAGATATATTGACCATGTAGTTTTAAAATTTTCAAGTGTTTATAGATCGTATTATTTTTAGAATTTCAAATTCCATATCTAGATATGAAAATAGATTTTAAAGTCATCATGAAGGTTCTTACACTGGAACTACATCTCGAGGCAAAATTTAGAAGTGTCCTTACTTCTACATTGTAGAAGAGGAGGGCGCCTTATATAAACCTCACCCAATAAATGCTCTCATATTTTAGGGAAGTTAACATAAAAAGCTTTTTAATTTTTAAAAATTGATAATAATTTCATATATTTTTATGGAAATATATTCAATAAAGCCATTTACTTTTGATATAAGGCAGTCAGAATTATTATGGAACCAATTTTTATGTGCCCAAGCCCACAACCGGTTCTATGATCTCTAACATGGAGAATATGAATATGAATAAATAAATAAATTTTAAAAATTAAAAATAATAATTCTAATAAGACATGGAGAACATGAATATAAAAAATACATAAATTTTAAAAATTAGAAATAATAATTCCATTAAGAAAATATTTGAACCATTAGTTTCATTTGTTTTTAGATGGAACACCTACTTGCATCCATCTTTACAATGGATGCTTTACACTTTTTGGACCGCATATGTAGAAATACGGTCCAGCCTGTATGAAACAATTTTCTATTAGTATTGACTATTAGAATTGAAATCAGATGCCTGAGGATATGTCATTGTTTGGGCATGCGATACTTATATTTATTGGAATTTATATGCAATGGCTAAAAATAATTGTGAAATCTTTTTACCAAAAATAAATGGTCTCATAGTATACAATCTTGGAACCAGTTTCTATGCGGCCAAGCTCGTATATGAAGAAATGCGGCCTTCTTAATAAATCTATTTTTTAGATGGATTTTAAGACTTAATTTTTAAGGACATATAACCTCCTTAAAAAATAAATAAAATTTTTAAGGACATCGAATATGGAGATCATGAATATGAATGAATAAATAAATTTTAAAAACTAAAAATAATAATTCTAGTAGGAAACATTTGGACAGTTAGTTTCCATTGTTTTTAGATGGAACACCTACTTGCATCCATCTTTAAGATAGATGCTTTACACTTATGGACTTCATATATAGAAGTGAGGTCTTGCCCCATACAAAACAAATTTTTTTTTATTTATACTTAAATTCCACTATAACATTTTATTTTTTTTCCATTTTCAGAAAATTTATTTTTAAAAAACCATTAGGATGATAGATTTACTAATTTTCCCAGTTTTTTTATTTAAATTCGAATTACCCATGAAAATGCATATGGTCTTGAGTAGATTATTGGCTAAAATATCAAATAGTTCAACTCTTATGGGTATTTTAATTAGCTTTTCTCTTTCTTCTTTTTCTTTTTCTTTTTTATTACTATATTTTATGTGTCCGAGTATGCACAAGTTGGCATCAATACTTCTTTGCCGTATTGGACTCGTACAATTTATTAAAAATATACTTATTTTAAATAAAAATGAAGAAAAAACCTCTCTAAATTTCAAAACCTTAAAGTCATTTTAGTTATTTTAAAATTTATGGATTATTTGTGAAAATAAAATGGTTAAAAATATCAACTAATCCAAAGCATAGAAAATAAAATAAATTTAACAATCCAAATCTCACTCTGAAAAGTTGGGACTCGAGCACAAAATATAAAATATATATGACTATTTTTATTTTTTTTGAAAAACGAACAAAAAAAATAAGTTCCTTTCTTGCTGATTTCACATAGATAAACAAAGAAAATAAAGAAATCCTTGTTTCTCTCTCTAGAACTACAAGAAACCTGCAAATTACATAGAAAAACCCCATTGCACCACGGTCTTTTTGCTGATTTTACAGAAAAAAACTCAAAAAAATGAAAAAGGCCTTGTTTCTCTCTCTAGAGCCTCAAGCTTTGAAACCTGCAAATTATAAAGAAAAACCCCATTGAAAAATTACAAAGAAGAAGAACAAACAGGAACCTTAATGAAGAGTAGAACGAACCTTGTTTGCAAGAATCTTGTTCTTAAGCCGGTGGTTTCTCTTTGAAACCTCGATGCTCTTACTGCTCATAAACCTAGTTTTGTAGCCGTTCCTTCCATAATCCTGAAAATACGAGGTATGATTGCGCGTCGATATTGAATGAATATGCATCTGCTCTGAGACTCACAACATGCGAAGAGGAATTGTGGCACTCCCCTCCCTTCCTCCGACTCACAAAAATTCAACCCCTTCCACGAATTTTGTAGCAGTTCTCCCATTCTTTCATCCTCTCATCTACGCCTTCTCTCTCTATAAAGTAGAAACAGATGACCCAAACCCACATACAAGCATGTACATAAAGTATAAACCCTAATCATTAACTATAGTTATAAAGTTTCTATACCATAATTAAACCATTTAATGATAAAAAAAGTGTCCGTTTTTTTTTGTACGTACTTAAGTGGGTGTGATATTTGCTAAAAGAAAATTTATATGGTATATTTGTTTTTATATGTATTTAAGTAGGTTTGATATGGTGTATTTTTTTCATATGTATTTATTCTATTTGTTTGCTCTATTTTTTTGAGCCTATTCCAATATATTGGCGATATCTTTTTATGAAGTATTTTTATTTGCCAATCTATATTTTTTATCCGTTTTTTTCATTTTATTTTTTAAAATAAAAATGATTTTTTCTCGATTTTATGGTAATCCGATTTATTAATAATCCCCAACTTACTTACTATGATTCTGACCGACCCCACCCGACCCAGCTGTTTTTTACAATCTTGTTTAAAACGTTGTAACATGACTGTATGTATTGCTTTGTTTTGTTGATAAAGTGACGACGGTGGAGAGTGGCACAAGGGCATTGGAATACTTGTCCCAGGAAGAAGAACATGCCATGGTGAGTTAGAAATCTTCCATTTTCCTTTCCTTTCCTTTCTATTTAGTGAATATCAAAGTTATCAGAGAAATGCTTAGTGGTTCAAGATTTTAGGAAAATATGGAGTGGCAACATTGGGTGCTACCTCAAATGTAAGGAAAAGATTAATGTGGATTCGAGCAGAACCCAACGGAGAGACAGAGAGAAGGTCCGAGTCATCAGGGCCTGAACCAAGTGCCCTGCTGGCTCGAGCCATTGCCAACTTTTAGTAAAAAAAATTTATACATGTCGATGAGTGTAGATTTTTTTGGGAATCCCTTAAAAATAATTTTTAAACTATATCATTACTCCCAATATTATTTGTTCCTGCCTTTTAAAAGTAAAAAGTTATTTCTTGGAGTTGAAAATACCCTCATTTTTTAACCCACATTTCTCTTCTTTTTGTCACACTTGCACTCTCTCTAGGCCAGTTCGACACATTTTCTGCTGACAGGCATGTTTTTGAATCTCAAAAGTCTTTTGCTGGTCTGGCGAATTTGTGCCATACCGGCACACTTTGGCCCCAAAAGTCGGGCACACTTTGGCCTCAAAAATGGGACACACTTTGGGGCTTAAAATCCGCTCTGGCACACTTTGAAGCTTAGAATCCGGTCCGGCACATTTATCTTTAGTATAAATGGTTTTATAGGCATTTTATAACTACAACGAAGTCACAATTACCTATAAATGGTTTTATAATATACAATCATTTTATAGTTATAAGTAATCGTAAGTTCTTTATACTAAAAAGAGAATATTTTCATAATAGATAGTTATAGGTAATTGTGACTTCTTTATACTAAAGATAAATGGTTTTATAGTATACGATCCATAAATGGTTTTTTAGTATATAATCCATAAAATAGTACTCAGAGTAGGGTGTGGTTTGTATAAGGCTGAGGTCCTAAACAATACAAGTGAAGTGCACTTTGAAATAGTGTCAAAAAATGTTATTTTAGTATTGTAGATCTTTGTTATTGTTTGAAATTTTATTTTTATCTATAATTAAAAAAATAAATTTAAAAAATAATATAGATTGAACAGATCTATGAACATTTAGTAATCTCGAGAATTAACGGTCCAAAAATTACATTTTATGATGCATTATTTCTAAGACTTAAGATCCATTTTTTGCCATGTTCATACATCTATACGTCACTATGATTGATTTAAGAATTTTTTGGCATTGAAAAAACTTGTAATGAACTTTTGACGTGTACCTTAATTTCATTATATAGGGCCTCACTTTATATAAACTTTTTCCACGTATTAAAGATGTGATTTAAAAAGTGCTGGGGGAGTAACACACAAAAAAATAAGTCCTAACATACATATTTGTTACGGGTGCAATTGGCATACGGACGCCTCCGTAGGTGTAGAGGCACGGTGCCTTTCAAATTAGGATTATCTCAAATTTTATTTTTGTATATATTTGTAAAATTTTAAATTTAAAAAATGGTTAAAATCAAGTAGATCTATAAACATATGAAAATCTTCAAAAATGGACGGTGTAGATAATATGTTGTAAAATGCATGGTTTTTTAGACTTAAAATCTTTTTATTTTTCATAGTCATACATCTCGATGTCGAGATGATCAATCAAAGAGTTTTTCAACATTAAAACTACCTTTTTTTTATGGATTTTTGAGGGGTATCTGTAGTTTTACATTATAAGGTAGCATCCTCATATAAACATTTTCCATTTGTTACTGGCCTAGGACAGGAGAGGAAGAAAAAGGCACTTAAAATCAGTCCCGACATGGTGAACAAGAGTGAGAGAGAGAGAAAAAGGTCCTTAAAATCAGTACAGACAAGGTGAACAAGAGAGAGAGAGAGAGACGGAGATCCTCTTTTAAAAAGAGAATATGTATCACATGAGGAGTACTTTTTTAGATGTGAAATGCAGTCGCACAAGAGGACAAGAGAATGAATGAGAGCAGGGGTCCCATGGTGCTATTAAAGATACGCCACATTTTCTCTTGGTTAGAAAGCTATCACAAATCCCAATTGGCTAGAAGATCTCTAAATTAGAGAGAGAACAAACCCCAATTGGATAGGAGTTTTTTTTCAACACTCTTTTAGAAGTTTATGTGAAAGATGCATATCCAGACTAAAATTTGAAAGTTCTGATCTAATTTATTTTGATGCGGACAACTTTAGTTATTATTCATTACTCACACTTGGCTTCTTCCCATTCATTTTATGAGACACTGATTAAAAACCTGGCTTGGCGAATCAAACCCCGCTAGATTTAGTTCTACCGAGCCTATTCAATGAATAGTTAGGCTAGAGTACTCAACATGCGAGTATTTCAACAAGAAACTCAATATTTGTTAACATTTGATACTGTTATCTTATTTTTTTTGTTTAAGGGTACTTTAGATAATTAATCAAAAGTAAAATAAAAATTATTTATAAAAAAATATATTTATTAACTATAGTAGATGATGACATCATCTACATAAAGCGTGACATTACATGGAGTAATGATTGATTTTTAATTACTAGTAAAATGCCACTAGTTTTTTTTTATAGAAATATTGGAAATTATCATAAATATATCTTAAATTTCATCTAATTGGAAAAAAATAATAATAATAATCAACTTTTATAAACTTCATCTACACATTTTTTCTTCAATTTTGATATTTTTTTTTACCAAAATAGCCTTTACGATAGTCGTATTACCATAACGAACATCGTCTTACGGTACTTTAAGTACCCTAATAACCAAGCTAAGTATTGCGTACTTAAAGTACCGTAATGACCAGGCTAAAATTACAGTACTGTAATTATCATAATGATCAGGCTAAACATTGCGTTACTTTAAAAGCCATAATACTTAAGTGTGGCAAATGAGTATTACGATCTCTAAAGTACCATAATACTTAGCTTGGTCATTACAGTACTTAAAGCATAATAATGTTTAGCCTGATTATTATGGTGCTTAAAGTACCGTAATGCGGTAGTCATTACTATAATACGACTACCGTGAAGGCTATTTTGGTCAAAAAAATGTCAAAATTGAAAAAAAATAAATTGTGCACAAGTTTATGAAAGTTGATAAATTAAGATATATTTCTAATAATTTCCCAAATATTTATCCTGACCCTCCTAATGACCAAAAAAACCTTTACTCAAAAAAATTATATTACACAACAAAAGGCAATGAGTTTCCAAAATATTGAAGACATTAAAAAATACTCATATACATTAGTACCCTAACATAACCCTATTTAAAAAATAGAGAAAAGAGAAAAAATGATCAAATATATATATATATATATATAATCAAGTATTCAAACTCAAAAACTTGATTTCATATTATTGGACATATGGAAATGTAAAATTAAAATGTTCAATATTTTGGAAAGAAATGGTGGAAAAGGAATGAAAATAACCAAAAATTAAATTACGACTATTTTGGTTCTGATTCAAAATAGTTGTTAGGGCTTTTGTAAATCAACTAGATGATAAAATCTCTACGACACTGAAACTTTATTCAACCTAAGCTTGTTTCTACCCTATCAATGGATTAATGCGTAACGCTACAAAATAGCCAAAAAATTGTTTCCCCTTGTTTTTTTAATGTTCTGGGAAAAATAGAGATTATCAGCCGACTCGCATGAATTCATTCATGAACTGGGTGACTCGGGCGGTTCCAAGTGAGCGTGGCAATTTCTTGTCCCTGCTCACACTACTTTGGTTTTTTTTTTTTTTTTAGTACAATGGGAAATAGCAAAAATTGAAACCCCATAATAGATGATTTGGAAAAAGTCATTTTACCCCAAAAAATGGACATCTGACGCTATTGTGTGGTGGTTTATTTTGTTTCAGGATTTGAAGGTAAATTTGATAATCACTGATTACTGCATGCCTGGAATGACAGGCTACGAGTTGCTGAAAACAATTAAGGTAATGACCATTAATACCCATACTTTTTGGTAATAATATATCACTATGTTCTGTTAATAATAGCTTTTTATGCTACATATATAATTTTCTAGGTCCCAAAGTGCTACGTACTTGTCCTCTTTTGGATTTTATTATTAGTTATTTTTTTGTGTTAACGATGATAATAGTAATAATAACGATTGGAGGCTATGCAAATCAACAACTTACTCTTAGAAATAAAGTATCAATTTTCGGTATTGCCAAATTTTATTTGGACAGTGTGGTTTTGACCACAGTGTTTAGACAGGGAAAAAGTTTATATAACGTTCACACTCCAAAATGCAGAATTAAGGCGGACCACTGAAATCTTTTGAAAAAGATTTTTTTTTTGTTTTATGCTTAAAAAAAGTCTAATTGATCATCTCAATATAGAGATGTATAAAAAAAAGAAAAAAGAGATATCAAGTCCTAAGAATAGTATATCTTGTAAAACATTATATGAACCGTCTATTTTCAAGATTTTCATGAGTTTATAGATCTATTTGATTTGAACCCGGTTTTAAATTTAAAATTTTATAGGTAGAGATAAAAATAGATTCTCACACTATCCTACGAATTTAGGACACTCAAATTATACTTTATGATAAAGTCACCTTTGATTATTTAAAATTGCGATCTTATGCAAACCATATCCACAATCTCAAAACTTAGTCACATCTTTTAAAACAATGACAAATCTACATCGCCTAACTAAAATGATTTATTACAATAAAAAATATAATGACAACAGCCAAACCAAAATGAGTTATTACAATAATAAAGATGACGACAACGCTGCATTGATAAAGTTATAAAAAATATCCATGCCATTATGCAATAATAATAAGAAATTTCCCCATTTAGTTGTTTAAATGACAAAAATAATGGAGCTTTTTTATGTGCAGGAATCCTCAACTCTGAAGGAAATCCCAGTGGTAATTGTGTCTTCAGAAAATTTCCCAACCCGCATTGAGAGGTGCCTCCCCTTCTCTCTCAATATCAAAGAATTTGGAAAATTTATCAAATGCACCAAACTTATCAACTATTTAACATTAATTTTCATCTCATGTTCATTTGTATTTCGATAAGATTTTTGAAAAAGAAAATATATAATGAGATCATTTATTTTTGGTACAAAGTGGTCATAATTCATCTTAACCATTGGATGTAAAATTTGGTGGCTGCATTTATTTCATTGACAAAGCTCAAAATATAAAAGAAATTTTTTCGAATTTTGTAACACACCGAGGCTATCCGGTTTCAAATCGGATGGTTGCAAATAATTGTGACCTCGCCATATCAAAGATAAATAGTCTCATTGTATACAATCGCTTTTTTAAATTAGATCAAAAGAAATGAATAAAACTCTAAAATAGTTCATCTCTTAAATGCGTTTTGATCAATTTCCCCAAAAAAATTCAATGCCTATAGGAGGCAGTGGCCTGAAGCTAGATGTTCCCTTGCAGATGCATTGAAGGAGGAGCCCTAGAATACATTGTGAAGCCCCTTCAAGTGTCAGATGTGAAGAGGTTGAAATGCTACATCAAACTCCCTGAGGGAACAATGGGAACTTAGGAAGATAATAATTTCACAATGAGAAGGAAAATGATATATGAGAAAGAGTTTCTAAGGTTTCAATATCACTGTGGAGGTAGAAAGCTGTCCCCAAGGGATTTAAATTTTTGGGGTCAACCCATAATGCATTTTAGGATTGAGAAACCTATAAGATGCTCAAACCAGACCCGTTATGCATTACTGCCAATAAATGCCAATAATAAGATTCATTTATATTTTTTCAATACAAAGTACTTCCTAGCTTCTTTTTCTTTTTCGTGTTTCCTCTTTTTAATTTTTTTTTTTTTGGGTAGTTCAGTAGTAGGAATCGAACTTAAAAATCAAACTTTAAAATGTAGTGGTTCAATCGTGTACAACTAACCACTCAAACCCATAATACATTTTTGTCAATGACGAGATTAATTTATATCCTTTGAATACAAAGTACTTCCTAGGGTTTCAGAAACCCATAATGCATGCCACCTTTCTTATCTATTATTATATCAGCAGAGTGCCTGTGTCCACCTAGAAAACCCTAATACCTTGGATGAACTAGCTAGATATATGCGTGTCATAAAAAGATGGGTAAAAGGTCATAATAACACCTTGGCTTTAAAACCGCATCTCAAATCCCAACAAAAATTGCAGTTCTCATATTAGAAAACCTTCCGATTGATCATCTTGGCCTCAAAAGTTATAGATATTAAGGAAATCATCCATAAAAATAATGTGTAACGTACAATATTATTAAGGTTGTAATTTTCAAGTATTAGATCTATAATACTTGTGTCATTTTTTTTAGCATATTTTTGGAGCTTCAACTTTCATTAAGAAATAGATTTTCAGAGTAGAATTGCATTTTCTAATGGAATTTTGAAATGTAGCTATACTTTTTATCATAAATCTCATTAGGCCTTAAGTAAACTGCACTTTATAAATAGTATTAGTAAGAGGTCCAAGGGTTAGTATATCCCAAAACCATGAATGAAGTAATAAAAAAAAACATACCTGAATGAACTAATTAGAAAAACATATCTCATAAATAGTATTAAAATTTAATTTTCCAGGTAACAACCGCTCAAGTGAAAGCAACGCCAAGTCTACCCGTTCATCTTAATCAGTGATGCAAAAATATCCTTCCACCTAGACCAGATCATGAGGCAAGAGATTTCAAGCCGAAAACTGACACCATAAGAGTCCTCGATTTGTCCTGTTTTTATTTTTATTTTTTTCAATATAACCTAGTCTGACTGAATTGCCCAAGACAGACAAGGGGAATCAGAATCGGACACTTGTCACATCCGAGCCCTATTCCGACTTCTAAACCAGCGAACATAATTAGACTCACAAGGAACACACACTAACATACTCAATTCTTAGTACTCAGCTCCACAAATCTATGCACAAAATTAAATTAAGCCGCAGTCGAATTATTTCTTATCTCACATTTACTTTTATTTATACTAGAAGTTCCAAAGATGACATTGTTGTCCATTAAAAATTTGAGATGGTCTTGATGGGTTCAAACTGCAATATTCTATTCCAATACAGATCGTGAAGGAAATCTATTTTTCTTCCAGACTGGACAATTTTCATATCTGTTTTTTTTCCAGCACTGCTTTCAATTAAACTAAAGATTTTAAACTGCCTTAGTTTCCATTTTGGTGCTTTCCCGATCATACTGCAACCCCCAGTGTATTGTGTTACAGAAGGTCCTTCTCCTTATTAGATCTTATCTCAGCTCTAATTATGACTTCCCAAATGCACATTAACTTGTATGTAACTTATAGATAAGCATTTAAACAAAAAAGAATGAAAATTTCAATGCCTACTATATATTTACTCAGACAACAAAAGAATGAAACAACAAACAGATGATTGAAGTGCCATCCACCATAGTACTACTGGAATGACTGTACCTAGAAGTTCAGTTTGTGATACACCATGGAACTTTTCCCATTATATCACCAACCTTCCAACAGCTGGGGGACTTCTTTGTGACTTTGTAGATCTTCCTAAATATTTACGCCGGTCCAAAATATATCAGTGATCAGAAGGTGATCTAGAGTTATCATCGACAAATAGGAGTCACCTTTTTGCAATTTAAGGGAATGATGCTCTGGGGATACATCAAAATGAATTGATGTTAGATACAATCAGCTGCTCCAGTGATGTATCTAATAATAATACTAACAAAAAAAAAAAACTCTTGCTAATATGGTACCAGTCGATATTAAGATCTGATATCTTCTCATGAACTCTCTTGAGAACCATAGATGTTAAGTAACTTGGCAAAAAGGTTCTCATGATACAATAATATTATCTAACAGAACCTTTCTCACATTACCAGATGAAAATATGCAGGGAAAAAAAAAACTGAAGAGGCCGTTCATGGGTTTTGGTGTCTGACATGTTTTCAGGAACTTTCTTGATAACTTCAGTAATCAACTAACATGACAAAAAGGTTTCCATGGTGTAAGCCTCTACCAGACGAAAACAGTGCATAAAAAGGCAATTAAAAGAATACTCAATGAGTTTCGGTATCAGTCAAATATTGAGGTCTGATGAGCTTTCAGAAACTTTGTTGCTATCTGCAGTAGTTGTGTAACACGGCAAAAAGGGTTGTATGCTATAATCTTCTGATCAAGAGAACCTTTCTCACATCCACCAGAAGGAAAAAAGATAAAAGAGGCAGAGAAAACCAACAGAGGCAGTTCAATGACTTTCCCTATGACTCAGACACCAACATCTGACATCCTTTAAGGAACTTACCTGAAATCTTCAGGGGTTCACTGACATGCAAAAATAGTTCTATGGTATAATCTTCTCATCAAGAGAAACTTTCTCACATGAACCACATGAAAACATGAAGAGAAAATGAGTGGAAGATTCAGTTCAATAGTTCTATCGACATCTTGAAGGGATTTGAGTGCTAACCTTCATCTTGGAATCCTGTTCTGGTCCTTCACGTATTACTTTCTGCATGCACAGAAGCTGAACAACATAGCTTTCCAGAATCATATGGTAAGATGCTTCAGCTTCATTATGATCCCTGACTGAATTCTCTCTCCTTGCTAAGGATATTTCTCTCTGCATGCCTGCACATAAAAGAACAAACACAATCTTAGACATTTTCAATTGGGTATCACAATTTTATAACTGCAAGCATAGCCAGTGACTTCTTGGAAAAGTCGATAGCTTGATCTCTTATGAGTTATGAGCTTATGATGATAAATGAAGCAATAATTCCGAGGTGGATCTTAGAAAGGAAACCTTGAACGGTCCTTTGAGATTCAACTGCAACATAATCTTCCAAGAAATTCCTGAGGTAATGAAATGGTGCTCAGTAGTAAGACATTAGTCAGTTAGGACCAGAAACTTGGATTGGTTAGTGCCACCTAGTTTCTAAAGGAAAAAAGAACTACAAAATACTACATTTGCTGCAACCTTGGGTAGACAGAGAGGAAACAGCCAAAGGATGAAATTCATTCAAATAAAGTACCCAACCAAAAGACGAAATCCATTTAAAGAAAGAACCAAAAAAATCCAATTTTGCCGGATGGCCATAAATCAATTAGAAATATAACAATTATACCAGAGGTAGAGGTAGGTTTACATATCAAGTGAATATTCAGACAAACAATGAAATAGAAAACCAAACCACATATCTAGCTCCACAGAGTTTTGATATGTCAAAGGGAAAACTTAAAGAAGATCTCTAATAGTTACTCATAATCACGACTTTCAGGGGATACCAGCCTATAAGAAAGGGGCAACTCCGAAAATTTAGCGAGTTCAGGTTAGCATGATAGTATGCCTATCACTTACAGTTTCTTACAGGTAGCAGGCTTCAGATGAACATCTCCACTAGTCACAGGAGCCTCTACTTTGGATTCAGGAGAATTAGTTGCTTTTGAACTCATTGATGGATCAGGTACTTTATTTCCTGTTTCTTCACACTCACTGCAGCTGCTCTTGAAATCTGTTGCATGGATAGTTTCTTGATTTTCCCTCGGCAAGTCAGTATCCTCAACAGTAACATCTTCCTCTGGCTGCTTTGATTTCTCCAAACAATCCATACTCTGTAGATCTGGTATATCTCTGCTTGTTTTCCTGTCACTCTTGTCCAGCCCAAATAAATTGAGAGCTTCTTCAGCCTTTGAATAAACCCCAAAGTAAGGTGCCACAGGAGTTTTGTTGCATGAGTGACTTTGAATATGGAGTGAAATATCAGAATTATAGAGACCAAAAGGCTCCAAATCTTCCTGCTCAGTTTCCATATTCAAATTTGTAGAATGATTGAATTTGGGTATCTCCAAAGATGGTTTGGAAACTACAAAGTCTGATACAGGAAAGGTATCAAACTTATCTAAGCATTCACTCTCGGATAGGAACTCGAAATCTGGAAATACCCCATATCTCTCTTTAGATGATTTGCCAGACGCTTTCATGGATAAACCCACATCATCTGAATCACATGTTTCATCCAGAAAATTACCACATTTTGATTTTGTATTCATTGCAGGTGCTGATAGATCTTCAAAGCCGGAGCTTCTTTTAAACTTAGATAAGTTTGGAAATTTCTTCCAGCTGCTTAGCTGTTTGATATATCTCTGGCCATGATTTTTGTTCAAACTAACATGATCATTCTGTAACTTGAAATTTCTTGAGTTCTCCCATGGATCACTGATAGAAGTTCTTGAACTAGGTGTCAACTTTAACATGCTTGACACCGAGTCATTTTCCAATTTATGCCTCACTGAGAAAAGATATTGTTGTAAAATAATTTGGCAAAGTTGAATTACCTAAAGTACTGATTAGAAAAATCAGATTATTCTTTTCACAGTTGGAGAAACAACCTGCGGAAGAGGAACATGACTCTTCACTGTAACAAAGGAGCAAAAATGTATTACAAAATTATTTCCATAATACCAACCACCAGCTAATGCCACACTAAAAGCATAGTGACAGTAGGACCTGAAGAGAGACAGAGAGACAGTGTGTGTGTGTGTATATAACTTGAAGAAAATAAATACCTCAACAAACTAGAACTGTCCCTTGCATCTTCTCCTGGCAAATTCCACCAATAAGGTTGACACACAACACTCTTGGAGTCCCAACTTTCAGTGGCTGCAAAATACCTGTCCACTTCAAGTGTCAGTTCTACAGAATAAGTTACCATTACCTGGTAGGAAGCCACAGGATCTCAATTAGAATCTATCTTGAGATACGACTCTCTTGGGGAAACAGGATCTAACCCTTTCCCTAATCCAGCTTCTGTAAATAAATGGGAAAATAGATAGGAAGAAAAAAGTCAGATGGCATGTCTCCGGAAAAAACAAATTAACTAACGGTACTAAGAATTTATAAACAAATGAGAAACTAAAGGGTTTCAAAATGATGTGATACAGAGCCGATGACCGCTTGTGTTACGCTTATTGTCTGTCAAAAAAGATTTTATCACACCCACAATGGATGGTATTGTGTAATCCAATCACAAGGAACCAGAAGTTTCAGTAGTCAAAAAAAGAAGTGTAAAAAGTAAGAGACAAGGCTGCTGATAGATCAAGATTATCGCACAATCTCTAAAACATTTGGTGTTACAATGATCAATTCCATTTAGCAGAGTCTAGAGGGAAGATAAAAGTGGAGTGTATCATTTAGATTTGGAAAAATTTTATATAAGGTTGCAACCTTAAATGTAGAATTGAAGATGCACCTCAAAAATCCATCGTAAAAGGTTGTTTTAATGTTGAAAAACCTCTAATTGATCATCTCGACATCGATATATATGAATATTAAAACAAAATAAAAAAGGATTTTGAGTCCCAGAAATAGTGCACCTTGCAACACATCATCTAGACCATCCATTTTCAAGATTTTCATATGTTTATAGACCTACTTAAGTTTAACCATTTTTGGAGTTTCAAATTTTATAATTAGATATAAAAATAGAGTTTCAGATAATACTAAGAATGTTTTACACCAAAATTACATGTTATGATAAAATTTGGAGGTGCACCTTAATTAGATTGTTTAAGGTTGCAACCTTATAGAAACCACACCCTTTAGATTTTGCTTGAAATAAAAGAGTTGTAGCAAATTAGCAATATATCATAACTTCGCTATGTGGTGATACTGACTTTGAGATGGAGTGGTTCGATATTGCCGTCATTAATTCTATTTGTACAAATTGAAGACAATGGTAGGGTCCTCTGGAATACTTTGCTTTAAGAATCCCAAACACCAGGATTCTACCCAAGATCATGTACATAGTTGGCTATAAGCAGAGTAGGTGACTACAACAATAAAAAAAGCGCGAGAAACAAAGCAAACACAAAAGACACACCACAAAAACACACAATTTACATGGTTCACCCCATGGGGCTATGTCCACGGCCTCGGCAAGTAGAAATCAACTACCTCAATAAAAATTACAATCTTGGATTACAAGAGATATACCTCTCTAGACATCAGCAAAAACCTCACCTGTATTCTCTTTTATATCCGCTCTCCCAACCGAGAAGCACAGTCGATCAACCTCACCTTTCTCACTTTTACACTGCTACTAGAAAGAGCACCTTGAGAGCAACCAAGAGACTCTCTCTAGGAGTAGAAGTTTAACCAATTCAAAACCCCATGGGAATTCTGCCACTCTCTAGGAGGCCATGTCTCTCGCTCTTGGAGATCCCTTCCCATGACCCCAAAGGGGTGACCAAAAAGAGGTGAGTATTATGACTTCCCTAACCCTTATACGGAGATCACCAGGATTTCTTTCTTTCTCCCCAAGAAACTCTGTTTTCTTTCTACCATACCCTTGATCTTTTGAGAAAAACATAGGTGGGGTGATTTGGCTATCACCAAACCTAACAATCACTATTTAATGATTTATGGGAAATTTATTAAATCACCACTAAAAATTGAACTGCTCATGCTTGGGCCAAATTAACAATTGTGGTGGTTTGCTGTCGTTAATTCCTAACTACCCAGATATGAGGTGCTTTCAATTCTGAGGTATCGTACCGCTCTAGAGGTCATAAAAATAAAATAAAATAAAATATCAAAAAAAGGTACCAACATCAAAATGGGGCATAACCAAAACAAAAAATATGAAAAAGTAGGAATTGAACGTAAAATTGGGAAAAAAATATTGACCATGCAGTAGTTCTGCTTTCTGGTCAGTAGGTACCCTTGCTTTTGTGTTGAACCTTACTTTTCCTTTCATGATAGTCTAAAAAATGATGAACATGTTTAGAAATTTGAAACTTTAATTCAGCCTATCTATATAGGACTCCTTAAAAATCGAAATTGTGTAACACAGTATGTCTTGTCCTTGACAAGGGAGTTTGTTTCCCAGTTGGATACCCTAAATCCTTGGCAAGCGAGTTTGTTTCTAAGTTGGATACCTTATAGAAGTAGATCAAGAGGATGTCAGATGTATGATCATTTAACATTAAACGTGAATGGCTAGGTGGTAGGCATCTTCTCCTTACAAACAGAATTGGGGTGCTTTTGTGTGATTTTTTTTAACTTTAAAAAAAGACAATTTTTCACGCTATGTGTAACCTCAAATGGATGAAACATGGGAGGTCTTGCCAACAAGACATCTTCACTCATTTCTTATAAAACTATATACTACATATGGTATTGAATGAATCGCCTATATCGATTGCTAAGCGGCACGACTACTGGTGATTCCAGATCCAAATTGGCAAATTTTCAAATACTACTCTGAATGCATATATCAAACCTTCTCAAATTTATTTAACTTCCTTCTGTTTTTGAATATTAACTAATCTTCTTCATTTCCTTTTTTCTTCTTTATAATATTCTGTACTTTGAATCCACGACAAAAGTAAAATTTCAAATCTAGATAAAATACCCAGACACTTTCGCAAATATGCAAGTCAGGTGTTCCATTATGATTCACTTTTTGTTATTTCTTGGATAGATATACAAGGAGAAATTTCAGTTTTCTTTGTAATTTCTCTCATCATTAAAATGAAGGTATCAAGGTATAGGTGATATTGTGATTTAATGACCCATCCATTTACTATACATGAATACAAATGGAGACACATATATGTATCACGTGTAAGCATAGAATCAGGTAGTAGGGAGATCAACTCTCAGTTGTGGAAGATGTTAAATAGCTCAACTCTCAGTTGTGAGTTGATAAGTTTGCCATAATTTGCAGATATCAATCAGCACATCACCTATGTAAAACTGTTCTGTTCATAGTGATCTATGCGTATTGACCAGTTATACTATCACTGAGAGACAAAGGGTACGACCATTGAATTTAAACTACCCATCTCTGCTGGTGAGGATGTTGTTCACAAACAAAAAAAATGAAATTTTGGAACATTGATTCCCTAATTCTACCATGTACTATCAGGCAAATAAATTTAAGGGTTGAGCTTACCTCTTATTGTACGTGCTCTACAGAGAAGATCAGGAATCAACCCAGCAGAAACAAAATTCATCATATGAAAAGTTTCTAGATCTTCCAATTTGAATATATGTTTAATACAAAATCTTGTGATTTACTACATGGTTTGAATTCCTTAGCTAATATATGATTGAATTTGCAGTAATTAAATCATCTATTTACTTTATATATTTTCTACCGCAAGTTTTTTATTAAGTTCATTTGAAAATTTTGATTATAGCTACATATTTTCCATGAAGAAGCAGTTGATTGCCAATGTATAAGTGAAAAAGGGATAACATCTACAATAAGACGATAAATATCCAAGTAAAGACCAATTGCTAAGGACTGAATTGCAGAATAACTAACGAGTTGGTATGGACCATTTTCAGTCTCTTATAAGTAAGGGTTTATCTTGAGGAAATGGAGACCCTAAAGGGCATTATTTCACCTATATTTAGTACAACTATGTTGTCTTTACAAGTTAGGCCCGTACATTTCAGTTTTTAAAATTCTCCTTAACCTCGGATATTAGAGTAATGACTAATACAACATAAGATGCCTTGAAACAGGTGAAAATATGGAGATGATTGAGAAGCAGGGCCACCGACTTCATAATTTTTAAAATCCTATCGAAATTTCATACATATATAGTGCTATCCGAAAATATATTACATTATTTGTGACAAATGATACATGATATACAAACATATTATAGATATTTAACATATAAGTTTTGATGTATCATATGTTCCAAATATGTATTAAATATTCACATTTTATTTTAAACATATCATGGTATGACTTTTATTCTATGTATCTCATAAATTTATACATACCATATTATCATGTAGATTGTGCACTTCATCATTTCATATGAGCTTGCATGCCATGCTCCCGCGGGAGTATACTGTACAATAACTCTTGGGTAAAAGCAATTTTCATTTTTTTTTAATATTAATTGTTAGTAGTGGGTTGGCAATTTTTTTGAAACTGCTAGTCATTTTCAAAAGGGGTTAGCATTGGTAGGAATGGCAACCAAGACTGGGAGCTGAGTCACTGGTGGTGCTACCACCTTGACCTCAACCCCATTCCTCTGGGTAAAAGCAAAATATTGAAGGTTTTTTTTTATTTGAATTTTTGGGATCCAACTAAAAATAACTAGATGATTATTTTCAAAAAAAAAATTTTGTTCTTCAACACCAAGATATAATCCTCCAAAAATTGGACGTTTCTTGTTTTAGGACCCCTTTTTTTTTTTCTTCAAGCACATTGAACAAGTTATTTGAATTTTTGTTTTTGAGGTTGATCTCTGTCCTCAAGAGGTTACATCCCCAAAATTTGGGGTCCTAAAATACTCCTACTTGAGAATTGTCCAAGGGAGTCCATCTGGAGAAGCATATCATTTTACATTTCATATTTTTATGTACTTAAAATATCCCTTAGTGGGATCCATATCATATCGTGTAGATGCTTATATACTAAGCACATACAAGTACCCAGGTATTCTTAGAATTTAATTATTAACCTTTCTGCAATTCTACATTTCTAGCCAGTCAAAAGATAGCAGTATGTGTGACAATGATTTGCAGCTAAACTACACAAAATAAGACACCTCAGAAGAGGCTTCTGGAAATGGAACACATTTTACTATTGTGAAATTGATGAGAAAGAAAGTAACTGAGACCCTAAAATTATTCAACATATCTTCTCTATCTTCTCCGTCCCTACACTATGGAAGACATTAGTCACAAAGAGTTCAAGCTAAAGTTTGCCAAGGAATGCATATCACACAGAAACAACCTTCTGCATAGAAAACATGAATCTTTAAAATCATAATCCAATGTTCCACATTCTTTTTCTAGAAAAAAATTAGAGGAAGTGCCATTCATCTGATATGCCTGATAACCTCGGGGTATAGAAGCATCTGCATCAAAATTTCTCCATTAAAAGAAAAGCTAGAATTTTGAAGAAAGATCATCATGGTTATCAGATTTTTCAAAGAATTTTGAATTTTGATATAAGATCTAACTAATACAAGGATCTCTTACTTCCAGAATATTTTAATATTTTTAAAACTTCGACGATCAACAACAGGAAATGAACTGCAGAACTTTGAAGCCCATGGCATAATCATATGATAATGAGTGCTCAAAAGATGTACCATGCGCCTTGATCTCCAATTTACAAAAATCAAAATAGACAGAAACTGCGATAAGCGCTTCTAAGTTCAAATCTCAAATAAATTTCCAAAGTGCAGCATGATTTATGAGTGAAGCACATATGCTTGAGATAAAAGATTAGCTTTGCAAGAAATGCAACCAAATAAAACAGGATCCAAACTAATTTCAGGCATTATTAGCTGGATAGAGAGTTTTTCAGTATTATGAACCATCAATATAGATCTCAGATCCAAACATGGAAGTAGCATTCCACATACCTGGACATGGTATACTTCTCTGTATCAATGTGTCCTCAAAGTCTTCCTCACTACTGAAAATGTCAGTCATATTACTTGACCGGCCCAGTGACCCTAGGCTCTTGGAAGCAAACTTCTTGCTCTCTGAACTGCCAGCATAAACATTTGGATCTTGAAACTTATAACTCGCCTTCAATGGTTTACCACCACATGCACCAAAATCACGCATTACTTCATTCTGTTGGCACATAAGAATCTATCAAATTCAGCAAAGCCTGGAAATGGACATAATGAACCATCAACGCTGTTAATTAATATGTGACATATTGGTATTTGGGAAAATTAAGTAATTCAGCTCATCCTATCTTTCATGACACAAAGTATGGAACAAAATCAAAGGAACCAAAGACAGTACTATGTAAAGCATTATCAGAACTAGCTCGCAGCTGGTTACAATATATTGTACTCTGTACTTCTCATCATGCAATCAAGACAGAGAAAAAAGTTAGAAGGGAAAAGCAAAATGGTTTCTATACTGAAATTTGAAGATGTTTATGTACCTACATATGCAGTATATTTCTCGCTGGCGAAGTTAGCTAGAGAATCTCTTCAATAATCACTGTCTGTTTTGGTAATAGAATGCAGAAAAGTGTCTGTCTTGTGTCTTCTGGTTCAATCGAGACAAAATGATGGCACAAACACTTAGACCACTAACCAGTATGGAACTCCATAAAAAATAATAATAATAGTCAAGACTCAAGATTCACAATGTAAAAACCAAATTGCTGGATGCAGGAATATGATCTCTTATGTGACCTTCATTTGGGTGGCCCACTTAAGTCTTGACAAGGGTCATCTAAGTATTTTGCTTGGAAGGCCTCATAGCTACAAGTTAAGCATACAAGTGCAATTACAAGTTTGAGTCCAGATATACAACTCAGATGGCATGTACATAGGTATGTATGCACATGTGTTACAAGTTGGCTAAGTGAAAGCAAAAATGGCGATTGGCACTAACGCTGAGTGCTTGATGGCTCTCAGGCCATTAATCCGTGCTCAACACTGGATAGGATAGGATCTTCGCGGGCCCAAGAAGGCTACTTGCACACGTTGCTCTTTGAAGGCCTCGAGCAATCAAGAACGGACATGAATCCTTGAGTAGATGAAACCAGTACTCGGCACACAAGGTGCTTGATAGGGTCTTCAGTGAATCAAATGGGCCATTGGTGCATGGCCAACTGGAAGCCTCGCACAAACAAAACCAGTCCGGGCTCAGTGTAAGAGCTGTAGGTGATCGAGATCAATGTTTTAAAAAATTGGCGATCAGGTTCAAGATCGCCAATTCAAATCGAGAATCAATCCAGACCGACCATGTTCCTTGTTCAAACTGGTAATCAGTCCCATACCCTTGGACTAGGCCTATTTCATTAGGGAACTGAGCTCCGGATCGCCCAGGTCCCACACATTACATTTTTATTATTTTTTCATTTTTATTTTTTTTTTATTTTTTTTATTTTGGACCAATCCTCACTTAGGAAAATCAGTTTGATTCACCGATCCAGACCAATTTTCCAAATAGCCGGTTCATTAGACAAATCCGGGTTTTAAAACACTAAACGATACCAATTATCCAAGTGTGGCCTCTGAAAAATGCTTTGTCTCCAAAACACCCCTCTTCACATCTAGTAATATGACAAGAGCCCTAGAGGTTCAATTGAAGCCTGGCACACTTAAAGTTGACCAATGGCACAAAGCATTCGATGTGTGCCCCGGTGAAATGCTTAATGCGATGAGAGTCTACAGGGGAGATGAACTGTTTGATAATTGCCCTTCAGCAAGTACAATGGAAGCGCAAAGTAATCTAATGAGGGCTTCATGCAATGATGACTAACCACATGCATTAGAAGCTTGTTATCCGTGGACAGTCAGAATTGATTATTCACATCAAGTGAAGATTCCATAACCCTTCGGTGACCAAAACTCAATACTAGGACAAGATATTCGAAGCCTTTCAGCGGTCAGAGGCCGCAACAATGTTATGACAGCCACTGTTTGCAATCGATACCAGGAAACACTGTTTCCTTTCATTAACGATTCTCAAAGAGAATACAACAGATATACATAAACACAGAAAAAATCTTTTACACTCAAGGAGCATTACAAATGCTCGATGAAACACCTCACAGCCTCATCAATCCTATTACAATAAAGTAGACGATGCCTTTAACAGAACCATCCTGGACATGGTTCGATGCTTTATGCGATCCCCATGCATGATCCAGAAGAACCTATTCAAGCATGAAGGGTTGTTTTGATAGTGATGATCCTTGTGTTCATGTTTGATTGAAATGGTTGTCCTAACACCTTATAATGACTCAAGCCTTTACAATTAGACTGACCAGCAGTTGGAATGGGAACTAGCATTTCCTTATGTCATCGGTCCTTGAGGGATCACACAAGCATATGCAATAGCAGTCATGTTGACCAACACATAGAATATGATATGTCGGCTATGCCATAGATATTAGAGTGGTAAACTCGCTGGGTAAGTGTTGGACAATATGCGTTGTATGGCTTGTGTCCTATGTGAGCTATGCCTTGCTCCTACCCTATGACATATGCCTTGTATAGCTCATTCTGTATGCAACCAATCCCTTATCTAGTGCATATCCATATTGCCAAGGCTTGTGATCAGTAATGTATATCTTGCACAATGTCTACTCTCTATGGTAAATTATCAAAGTAATTGGTTCTATATAGAGCACTGACAAGAAGGCCTATGTTGTACGGCCCATGGAAAAGTGTTCAACAGGTTTGAATTTCACTTTCAAGGCTTCAAGTTTCGAGCCACGGTCAAATGTATTCTCGGAAAAATGAAGAGACCAAGGGCAAATGAGCCATGTTTTCGTTTTCAATTTGAACAGGTCAACACAATGTGGTTATTGAGACTCCACCATATGTGATAGGATATTGAGAGCCACCATATACAATGTGGTTATCAAGATTCTATCTTCATGACAGGTCTAGAGTTTAGTGACTCAATGGTGAATTTCCTCTAGAGATCCAAAACAGTTAAGGTGGCATCTGAAGGTTACTGAGAAGGAACACAGTGGGGACACAATTGTGCCTAACTACCCTTCTCCTGTCGCCTTGAGGATGCAACATGATTGGCAACCTTCGGTACCTACATGATGAAGATAACACTCTAAAACCTGGAATTTAGCCATGTAGTCCACTTCCGCAAGACACCTGTCCCACAATCTAACCTATATCTACCGTATCTACAGGATCCTATCCCACTCTCAATCCTATTATGGCAGGATCCTATCTCACGCTCTCAGTAGGGTAACTTCCCACTCTTTGGTGTCATTCACCATCTGTTCAGGATGTATGTGTCGTTCTTGGGGTCTCTATCCCATGCTCTCATCATAACTACCTCATTACTCTATGACCATTCCTTCTATACCAGACACAGCATGCTGCTATAAGAACGAAGGGAATGGAACTGAAAAGGGGGCCAAAGACAGATACACATAGATGGTGATGGAATGATACGAACACTAGGGAATGGAGAGTGAATTATGAGAGATGGAGACAGAAAATCACACAAAAAGCATATAACCAGGGTTTAAAAGAGTGTCAATTAACTAGAAGGAGAATCCCGTTTGGTGCAAGGTATATGAGGCAATATGCATGTGATGTACCATTTGCTTTCTCTCTTTTCCATGATTGTATTCTTTATCCATTCCATTCAATGTAATAAAAAATAAACATGGCATCTACACGTACCTTAGGACTGTATTTCCCAGAATCTAATAAAAAGTCCCTAAAACGGGATGAACTTTGGTTGTTCAATGTGCATTTTCTTTATTTAATACACATTAAAGGTCTATATTTTAAGCAAGCACCCTTAAACACACAGCCCCTCATATATCTCAATGTCCTTATGACAGAAACTTAGACCATGATCCAAAGTAGACATAACACAGAAATCAAGATTCTTCTTAATGAATTGATAGTGTATAAGGAACCATCAAACTTACAGCAACCTGCATAAAGTAGAAAGCAATCTAAAGTTCTAAACTAATAACTCAATTCAGAGTGGTACAAGATCTCAGATAATCCCTCTCACCACGTCACATTTACCCAATAACTAGTTACACATTGTCACCATGCATAAAAAAATTTATCAGTTCAACAATCTGTATTTAGTTGCTCAAATGCATAGTTGCTGGCATCTTTCAACCAAGAGGTCAATTCCACTCCAAAGTCTTGCTTCTGCACCTCTACTGAAGGGAATCTCACTCCTTCCTGAATCTTAAACTTTGGAATCGTGATCCTTTCTAGTAGTGATTGAGATCCCAAGTTACAAGGGATCCAGTTTCCCTAGCATTATAGTATAGTATAGTATAGTATAGTATAGTATAGAAGCATTGTATAATATAGCAGTGTGGTATAGTATAGCAGTAGTATAGTCTAGAATTGAAATTGAGCATAGTAGTAAATACTGTATAGTAAATATATAATATAGTGACATATAATAAATCTAAATATAGTAGCATATTTTTAGCAAATATAGTAGCATATTTTTAGCAAATATAGTAGCATATAGTATACAGTAGCAGAATGTATTATGTGTTTGTATATTATCAAATGTTAGTGTAGTATATATTGTACTACTATACTAGTTAAGCGCTAGGTCTAAGAAGGGTGAGGACCTTAATCTTTTCCTTAACCCTTCCTAACCCTGAGTAAAGGAGGTGGGTTGTGTTAGATAGGCAGTCAACGTAAAACCTAGCCAAAACTTTCATAAATCTTGAAATAACGTTATATGCTTATGCTAGGGTATTCCCCGTAAGCGACGCACTGCACCAGAACCCCAGTACAATGAGAAATGCACAAGGGTTAGCTAGGGCATTCCCCAAATACGATGCTTCGCAACACCGCCTGGTTACGGTGAAAAATAGACAATAGTTGCCGCGACATTCTGGACAAGCACGGAATAGGATTCGCCTAGCCACATGAAATGTAGGAATGCTTACAAGTAAGGGTATAGAGTTAGTAGATACAATGAGACGAAGGAGAGTAAATATAGCTTGTCTATAAGAAACTAGTGGAAAGGGGGAAAAGCTAAACAAATAGATGGGTATAAACTTCGGTATATATAAAAAGATAATAATATAAATGGCTCGAGAATAATAGGTGAAAAAGAGTAAAAGATAAAGCAGTTAATATCAAGAAAGTAGGTGATAGGATCCTATTATTTAAACTTGTATCAGAGGAAGAGATAATTAATGTAATCAGCGCTTATGCACCACAAATAGAACTAGAAGATAGAATTAAAAGACATTTTGAGAGAATATACATGGATTAGTCCAAAAAATATCAAATGGAGTTAAGACCTTTTGAAGAAGAGACTTAAATGGACATCTAGGGAAGGATAATAGAAGTTATGAAGGGGTTCATGGGGGATATGGGTTTGGTGAAAGAAATAAGATCGGTGAGGCTCTTCTAGATTTTTCTATGGTCTACGACCTAGCAATAGTAAATACTACTTTAAAAAGCGAGACAAACATTTAATAACCTATAAAAGTGGACCACAAAAAAACAAATAGACTTCTTCTTAGTTAAGAAGGTAGAACGACCATCATGTAAAGACCGTAAGGTTATCCCAGAAGAGAGTTTGATTATGCAGCATAGGCTCATGGTTATGAACGTCCGCCTAAAGATTTGGAAGAGAAGGGGTGAAACTAATAGGTGTTTAAAAACTAGGCGTTGGAATTAAAAAAATGAGAAAATAGACTTATTTAGGGATAAATTAATTAAAGAAGGAAAATAAAACTCTGAACATGAGGTCAATGTTACGTGGAATGAGATGGTTGACTGTATTAAAAAAGTAGCAAAAGAAGTTTTCAGAGAAACTAAAGGGAGAAAAAAAATTGAAAATGTAATAGAAATGATCAAAACTTAGAAGAATATAAAAATGCTAAGCAAATAGTAAGTTAGGGTAAACTTAAGGCATATGATAATCTATACAGTAATCTAGGAACAAGAAAAGGTGAAAAATATGACTTTAAACTAGCACAAATGAGAGAAAAAAGTGTAAGGATCTAGACCATATTAGATGCATTGACAGTGAGGATCAAAGGGTCATGGTGAAGAATGAAGAGGTCAATGAAAGGTGGACAGTTTATTTTCAAAAGTTATTAAATGACGAACACAATGGAATATAACAGTAGAAGGAACTGTTGGCATAAATGAAGGCGGAGCTTATAAAAACATTCTTAGGATTAGGATATCAGAAGTGAAAGAAGATTTGAAGAGGATGAAGATAGGAAAGGATTTAGAATTAGATGGTATCCCGATAAAACTTTGGAAGTGCATGGGGGAGATTGGCATTGACTGGCTGACCAAATTGTTCAATAATGTATTGAGAACAAAGAAAATGTCAGATGAATAGAGGAAAAGTAATGTAGTACCTATTTACAAGATCAAAAAAAATATACAAAATTGTGAACTGTCAAGGGATGATCAAACTTATGAGCCACACTATGAAGTGGTGGGAGAGTTCTTGAGCAATGATTAAGACATGAAACGAGTGTATCAAAAAATCAATTCGAGGTCAACAACTAAAGCTATTTTCCTACTTAGGCAACTGATTGAAAAATTTAAGGCAAAGGGAAAAGACCTCCATATGGTCTTTATTGAACTAGAGAAAGCTTAAAGTAGAGTGCCTTGAAATTTAATTTGGTGGGTGTTGGAAAAGAAATGAGCCTCTAGAAACTACATCTACTTGGTGAGAGATATGTACGACGGAATGCTACCTAGCGTGCAAACAACTAGTAGGGAGACGAGTGCGTTTTCGATGATAATAGATCTACACCAAGGGTCAGCATTAAGCCCGTACCACTTTGTATTAGGTATGGACGACTTAACTAGGCACCTATAAGATGAGGTACCGTAGTGTTTGTTGCTCGCAGACGACATAGTTTTGATCAATAAGATCCGAAATGGTGTCAACACAAAGTTAGAACTTTAAAAACTTTAAAGGGATGCTCTTGAATCTAAAAATTTTAAAATTAGCCGAACTAATATAGAGTATATGGAATGCAAGTTTAGTAATAATAGGAGTAGAGACGAGGAAGTAGTTAAGGTTGACGGCCAAGAAATACCAAAAAGAGCACAGTTTTGATATCTTGGATCAATAATCCAGGAGAATAGAGAGATTGAGGAAGATGTCGCATATAGAATTAGAACTGGGTCGATGAAGTGGAGATGTATAACCGGAATTTTATACGATCGCCGCTTACTAATGAACCTGAAAGGAAAGTTTTATAAGACAACTATGATACCAGCTTTGCTTTATTAGATGGAATTTGAGCGGCCAAGAAATAATATACCCATAGAATGGGTATAGCTGAGATGAGGATGTTGAGATGGATGAGTGGCACCAATAAGCGATACGATAAGAGAAAGTAGACTTAGGTGGGCTAGCCATGTGCAACACAGACCCACTATAGCAATTGTTAAGAGGTGTGAGTTAGTTCAAGTGGAAGACTAAAAAAGAGTAAGGGGTAGGCCCAAAAGGACATGGTTGGAACTAGTGAAAAAAGATATGCGGACTTCTGGCCTCACTGAGCGTATAACCCTTGATAAAGCAGAATGGCAGACCAGGATTCGTGTGGCCAATCTCAATTAGTTGGAAAAGGCTCGAGTGATGATGATGATACTATTTAAGCGCTCTCAATTTTCAACTAGAAGGAGCTCAATCTAGGATAACTTATCGTTCGATTCCGATTAAGTTTAGATCAAGCCTTCCAACATATTGGGATCAAGATCCCTAGCTTTCAAGGTGTACAGACTGTTCCCTACATAGGGAGCTTCCTGCTTGTCATGATCCTGCATTCCTAATCTTGATCCAAGATATGATTCAATCCCAATCCCAATCCCAATCCCAATCCCAATCCCAGTAACTACACTCATTTATTCCCCAACAACCTCTGCTCGAAAAATTAATCAAAACATGAACTGTGTACAATTGCCTCTTCCACAAGTCTTACTTTACGAAAGATCCTACACTCTTAGCCAATTACGTCAAGCAACTACTAATACTTGTATTATTCCTCTTGTTGCCTTCCTAAATGTTATCTAATATTTATGCTTGATCCATTGCCCTTTTATGTATTCAAAGTAATTTTCTTTCAATGCTAAACCTTAGGACAGCTCTCTGTCTTTCATTTATGGATCATCAGATTAGTACTCTCAATTTTTTACACTTATCAGCAAGTTGATATAGGTTTTATCCCCTGGATAGGGTTTAGATCTTCACTAAAGTCACGCCCTTCCCACAACCCAATCTCTTCCCCACTGTCATTCATCCCTCCTTTCTCACGTTTTCCTCTCGCCAAAAAACAACACTGGGTGAAAGTCCAATGTTAGCTTCATAAAAAAAATTACCAGGTGAAAGTGCTCGAAAAACAAAAATAAAAACGATCAAACTTCAAAAGGGAAGTTAAAAGGAATCATATAGGTTTGGATGGCTAGAATATAGCTAGTTGTCTTAAGTTTACCTTAACATAAATGTGACAAAAACGGTGGCCCATGAAGACAAGGGTTCCACGACCTAGGCTATCAGTAATAGCCATTTTAGAGTATCCTAATAGAAAATCTTTCCATTGATATGAAATCAAATCCCCAGAATCCTACCTATCCTTCAGTCTATATGAACTACGATCGGTAAACCTTTCATCCATAATTCACTTGTATATCCCACAGCTGATAGAACGCTTGGGAAAGGATATAAGAATGCAGTAATGTGCATGTCATGCGATATTGCATTTGTGGCCAACACTTAGGGTTGGGAGCCGCCAAACCCAACCACAATATCATGTAATAACATAACTTTTGGAAAAGGTTTTGGACACCTTTTTTTGTTTTTTACAGATTTCTATATGGGTTATTTTTCCCCACCCATTGAAAATGGAGCCAAAGTAAAACAAATGGCTCCGGCAGGTGAAATCTGACTTATAGAGCTGGATAAGATTACAAACCAATATTTAATGTACATTGCAAGTTTTAATAAATTGTCAAATAAAGCATTTCAACAACTTTGACTGCACAGGAATTCATAGAGCTTTGATCTTAAGTCTCATGCTTGTGTCATAAAAACGATCAACTTCAATGAGAGCAAAATAAGAGGATATATAGCATACCCACCATTTCGAAATCAAGGTCTTCAAGGATGTTATCAAGGCTCTTTAAATGGAAAGGTAGTTGTGCGGCCTTTGGTGGAGTCAAGCATTCATTCGAGAATATCCTGATAAATGAAAATAATAATAATAATCAACATCAGGTTTCTATTTTGACAAAGATTTCAGACAGACATCTAGATTTTTTTTAGTTTTTTGACAATGCAGACAGCCCTCTAGATTTCCATGGGTCATTTTGTAACACAAACAAATACATGGAGAAGATTCATTTCCATAAAAAAGTTGATGAAAGTGAATTTAAGGACAGAAATGTGCACATTGCCTCACGAATGGGTGGATCTCAGCCAAATAGTTATTCAAGGACAATTAAATGCTCTATGGGCACTATGAATACAAGCTGGTCGGTAATTATTAATTAACTTTTTTGAGAAGCACATTTGCAGGTGCACTGCACACAATTAAATCAAGTAACCACCACCTGAACATCAGGAAACAAGATTTCTCAGGAGATAATGTGATCAAGGGTCATGTATCATCACACAATGATAGATCAAAGAAATCCATGTTTTCATAGATATAGTTGAACATATTTAATTATGATGATATCATGTTAATACACCTAAATGACATGGATCACCTCCTATCTTGAGAGCAGTTTGTATTACATTAAAAAGGTGCATATCTTCAATATTTTTATTCAACTATCATGTCTTTGATCTTCTAAGAATAAAGTGATAGGTGCATACTTCATGCTATTAGGGAAATGATTGTTTCTTTCACACTTCCCATTTTTTATTTCGTTGCATATTGGTTTAACTGGAGATGAGTGAATGTCTGTATTGGGAACTACGATCAATCTTCACTTTCCTTTGCCAGAAACAGACTGATCCTGATGACCCCAATGCATACGAAATAAATTTATCTAGTGCTAGTTGCAGATAGAGTAAATGCCAAACACCACTAAAAATGACCAATGAACTACCTTGGTTTTCCTCCAACTGCATGAGCAGGCGTTTCAGTGCCAATTTTACCAAAACCTGGAAAACAAGAAAAGTTTCCTAAATTGGATCACATACTACTAAAAAATAGACATGAATATTCATTATATATGCCTTCACAGCAGTAAATTGTACCACAAAACTGGACCACCAGATCCAAGTCTTTAGAAACTCAAAAGCCAATGTTTTTGTTCTTGAAAATACTCATCTGGCAATTACAAAGTGGAACCCAAATTTCATATTGAGTGGTTCCCAAAATTTCAGATCAAGAAAACATCTTTTGTAGGGAGTAAGCATTCAGTGTGCTCCACAGGGAGTAACCTATATGCACTCTAAGAAGAATATGGAAACAAGCTGTGCAAACATGTGACTGCAGAGAAAAATGATAAGCTCTATGTATTATGAAATATAAAAGCAATTTGTACTGACATGTGAATGCAGATGAAAAATTATCAAAACTAAAGAGTTAAAGCACTGTTTTGTAGTAAAGGGCCATCATTACTGGATACATAAATGAAGGTGCAGACCCAAGCTCCATCAAGTTCCCACCCTCCCTCCCTCACTCAGCATCAATTTGAAGAGTAGATACTAAGTTACTAACACCAAGCTACATCAAGTTGAAGAGAAGGTACTAAGATCAGTCAGCTCGCTCCCTCCCTCCCTCCCTCCCTCCATCTCTCAGCATCATTTTGAAGAGTATATAGTAACACCACGCTTCATCAAGTTGGAGGGTAGATACTAGGATCAGTCAGCTCAAAGAATGATACTAAGAGGAATCATGCACATCAACTAGGGCACAATGGCACAAAGTATCTCTCATTTTAATATTTTCCATGGGAATAACTAATCACATACCTTTTACAGAAAAAGTGACATGAGTTTCATCAGGTGATCCCTTTTCCAAACTGCTATCACTTCCACCATCACAAAGCAAATCCAGAACCGAGAAATCTAAAAGAAAAATTCATCAAGGCATAACAGTATCACCAGCCAACGAATTTTAAATCATCAACGAAGAAACAAGTGATTAAGGAATGATATTTAGCTGCAGTTTGAAATCACTTCCTTGATTTTCTCATGGGCAATCCTATATTACAAGTATGAGATGCAAGAAAAAAAAGTCCACTGTAATTTGAGATACTTAACTATTTTCATTAAATGATCTCTGTTCTTTCAGCTCAAGATCCTTTTGAGAAGTAGAATGTTCATGTGATTTTGGATTTGTTTCAGGAGGGATGATCTCATGCACCCTGTCAGACAGAAAATTTATTGCCATTCAGTGGAAAGGAGAGCGAAAGATATTTTGTGCAAGAAATACCAAAAGCTTACATGGCAAAGGATGTTGTATCCAGTTTATGGTTCAATGACTCAATCCCTGCATCAAATAAAACTCAGAACACAGAATAAACCCACAAACAGTACATTTACAAGTTTAAACATTGGAAAAAGAAGCCCCTAAAGAAAATGAAACAAAAGTCAGTGTCTAGGACCTCTAGGCACACTAATAATGACAAAGTTAAGACACTTTGAATGAAGAGTTCAAGAGTCTATTTTTTTCATATAAATTCTCAAATTTCCTTTACAGGGTTCTTCAGCTTGCCTAGTAGAACAGGAAATTTCTCAAATTTCCTGTACAAGGTCAACATTTTGCAATATGATTATGCGGTCTGTTAATGTTAACCTGTAGTGTTCCTGCTCTTGACAACATAAAAAGTAGGGGCAGGGAAAGCACAGCAGCATAAAGTAAACATAGAGTCAAGTATCAAACTCAACTGTCTTTTTTTGTTTGGCTATATAGAATCAAACTTAACCTAGTAACAGGGAAAATATACAATATACAGATCAATTTTGGGCCATGCATATAATCTCTTTTAGGGAGAGTTGGGTATAGGTTTGAGAGCATCATGGAAGCATCCGTACAAGCTAGGGATTGAACGAGTTTTTTTGTTGTTTTAGGTTTATCTATACCATCACAATAGCCTAGAGAGAATCCTAAGTCTCTCTTGGCACCTAGAATCCAAAGATTATATGGCCATTTCTATTAATCAAATAAAACACATCAAGAACCCACAAACTTCATTGACATAAAGTTTAAGAAGAAAAAGCATAGATAAAGAGAAGAAAATACTCTCTAAATGATGAGTTCAAGAGTTTACTTTCTTCATCTGGATTTCTCAAATTTCGTGTACAGAGTAGTTCTTCAGCATGTCTAGTACGTGAGCATTTGGCAATATCATGTGATCTGGCTAAATTAACCTGTAGACTTCCTGCTCTTGACAATAGAAGGAGTAAGGACATGGTAGGTAGTACAGAATGAAAACTAAAGGATAGCATTGCCACGTTACAATGAAAACCAACAAAAATTTTGCAGGCAAACATAGAACGGGAATCAGAACATCCCTCAAAATCAAAACTATATTTCTATCAAAAGACAATGTTCATCATTCTAGGCCTCAATGATCCACATTACATAATAAGCATACACCAGGGTGCACAATGGGAAACAATTGAAACAACACAAAAATGCTGCTGAGTAAATTATCAAAAACAAAGAAAAGGGAGTAAAATTGCCATTGATTGGATGATAATTGCAAGCAGGGGTGGAAATGGATGACAGATTCATCAAATTCAGGATATCTAATGATCTAGGCTCTTGATAGTCATCGGCATGCATGTTTCTTCCATCAAGACTCTTCTCCAGGTCTGGTGCTTGTCGTAATCGTTTCCGTTGCTCAAAGTACTGTTTTTGCCTTGAAAAGATGAAAATACACCCAGATCAGCCTCATGATAATTCATATTAACACCCATTTAAGATCAGGTTCTTTCATAACAAATGACTGATGGTCTAGTTCATAGGAAATGACTTAAATTCCAGGAACCTTCACAAATATATTGAATATCTACTGGCAGTGTCAAGGGCTCATAGGATGAGTACTAGCAATGTATTGAGCAACTTATGGTTTTTCAAAAGATAAAATTATACATAGAGGCATCATAAGACTAAAATTCCAAAATGAAAGTGCACCTTTTTTTTCAAAACCCGCAAACAGTTTGCGGCAGTAAACTTGAGTAGAATACTAAATCATTAATTTACAGGATATCCATGGCAAACAGAGGAAAGATTTTTGCAGGACAATGAAAGATACCAAAATCCTGCAAGAGATGACAAAATATTCCATACAAATTGACTAGGTATCACAATCAACCAATTTAAGGAAGGGATGTAATTCTAAACATGACTAATAACAGGTTATTTATGAAGGATGACTGGTCCTGACTCCAAACTCTTACAGACCAAGAATTATGAAAATTTTCCTGATATTTCTGCTCCAATCCTGTGACCTACTCCTCATATCAAATAAGCCTTTTCAAAGGTTTTCCTAGCAGGCATGCAGGACCACGTGTTATAGTCTATCATCCAATCAAAGAATGGTAAAGAGAAAAGGAGTTTTTGGAAAGTCACTTTATTGAAAGCGAAAACCGACATATAATACTTTATAAGTCCTACACGTTGAGCTGTTCAAATCAACAGCTTTATACCACATGCCAATCCCTTTTTAACCTCATTGGCAACAACACCCATGAGTACAAGCTGAACAAAGCAAACTGTTAATTGGAATGGTTTTACCCTTGGAATTTGCATAGGCTGCAAATCATAAAACGTGAAGTGCAAATCAAACCAAAACCAGGTACAATCACTGGTCCAAATTTTGATTTGCAATTCTGTACTATATTAAGTGGAGGTCCGCTTCACAGATAATAATAGCATTTTTATAAAATGGGCACCTTCACCCTGATGTTTTCTAAGCAATCATGAAAAGCCAAACGTATGGAAGACATCATGTAAGTCCCCAATGACCCAAGACATTGAATAGCAGACTCATTCATCAGCCTGTCGAATATATGGGTGATCTCCATTTCTCCACTAAATGCAAATACCAGTCAGTTATTCTTCCAAGAGCCCAATAAGGAGCCAAAATATACAAGAACTTCTGCCATTATTTTGGGACATACCCAAATAGTTCGTCCTTTATAGTTTCTCAATGAAGTGGTAAGTGCAGAACTCAAACCTTTTTCATGACATCCAGGACATTCCAATATCTGACATTCAGTGAACTATTATTAAACCATTGTACTTTTGTCTAACAAGGTCCAGTGTTTATAAATATTTACTAACTAGAAAACAGCGTGTGCCAAAAGATTTTCAGCGTCTGTGAGCCTAAGAGCAGGGGCCACATATGCAACGGGAATTTCATTCATGTATTAGCCACCTAATCCAAAATCTCGTTCGTCAATATCCTCAGTAATCTTGAAATCAAACAGTGCATGAAATAAATTTTTCACGAATAAAATAAGCATCAAATAAGTATTTATAATGTTAGAGAAAATAAACCAAAATTGACAAACGTATATACTGAAGAAAGAAAAAATAGACCACTCTTGACAAGCTTCTAAGAAGTAGAAACACTTCTTAAATTCCAGATAAAGCATACTGCTCAAAAGAATTGCACAGGGAGAATGATTGTTAGTATAATATACATGTACCTATTTTGAATTGACTTTCTTGACTGCCTTTTCCCCATCCACAGCAACGAAAATGTATGAAAACAAAAGACAGAGCATTAAGACATATTTATAATCATCATCATATAAGGTTAAACTGTGATATAAATCCTCAGTAACAGCATAAACATGACAATAGAACATACCAAAGATTACCATGCTCAAACAAATAAAGAATCATATAATACATATAGGAATGTACACTTATATAACCAGAAAAACGTGTAAAAGTAATACATATATACATGCACAAATGCAACTAAACATGGACATACACATATATACATGTATTCATTCATGCAAGCAGATGCGCATGTGCGAACACACACACTCAGATATAT